AGCTACGTTATTCACGTAGCTGAAGTTGCGTACCTTAGTTCGAATTAGGGGGGTAGTGTAGACCAAGCCTTACATAGCATTGCTGCTCCGTGTCTCCTTCTCCGGAGAACAACAGACAAGGGAAAGTTTCTTTCCCATTTTTAAAAGTTCTAGCCTTCCCATTGGCTCTTTCGGTCAGGTGCCCACTTCTTTTCTTTTACCTGTGGGCTTGTTAACCCTTTACAGGTAAAGCAAGCAGAGAACAGCTACCAAGAGGGATTTTACAGCTAACTGGTTGGCTGGGTGTCTATCAAAGGGAGCTACCCTACCACTTTATTTATCACAGCAGGTCTCCTCTAGTTTAAAAGCTCCAAAAAGAGTATAAATTGAGGACCTAGAAGGAGCTATATAAGCTTGTCACTAATTATCTCATAAAATAAAGAATGTTGCTATGTAAAAGAAACCCTAATGATTTGCTCCATATAAACTGGAACTTGCTTCCTCTTGCACTAAAACCTGAAATTGCTTCTTCTCCAAAGCAGTGCAAAAACAAATGAAAATGGCTATTGCTCCTTTCAAAATGAGATACTGCGAGCAAATTAAACAAAATCAGAAGAAATCAAAGAAGGATTGTGTTTAGATGCTGCTTTCATCTTTAAGACTGAAAATTAAAAGATTAGCTGCACTCACAACTGAACCATCAAAGAAATCCTTTAAAGTGATATACATATTTCCTTAAAATAGCAACTAGGTTTGCATTGCTCCCCTAATACCATTAAAAGACAAAATGAATTTCTTGATCCTATAGTTTGTAACAAAAGTTTTGCTTTGAGCTTCTGAATGTACAGCACGTCCTTACCCAGAAGGACAGTAAACGATAAATTCATATTTGGCTTTCCAGTTCGCAGGAAAGCACTGATTTATTTTCATGGTTAATGGTGATAAAAAACTAGATTCTGCTCTCAGATTTGTGGATGCAGCTTTCATTGAAGTCAAATTCTGTACACGGAATGCATGTTGGCAG